AGAGAGAGAGAGAGAGAGAGAGAGAGAGAGAGAGAGAGAGAGAGAGATATGGATGTACCTCCTGCAGAAAATCTTCAAGAAGGCGGTTGAATTTATCTGCTAGTTCATCTATGAGCTGGCTTCTTGCAATATCTACTCGGTTAAAGATGGTGAATTCCTCGTTACAGAGGGCGTGGTAAGTTTTAGAACAAGCTTCCAAAACGTCAGTATCTGTGTGCTTTTCTACAATATCCCGGATCTGTCGTAATAAGGCATCCAAATGCTAGTAAACAGACAGCAAAAAAAAAAAAGAAGAAGAAGAAGAATCAATTGACCATCAATTTTCTGATGTGTTTGTTCAAATTCCTGTTCACTCACTCCTAAAAGAACTGTGTTTAACTATTGTGACAGTACAAACAGTCATTTCTTTAGCTGCAGAACCCACAGGGGAAGGCCAGCCTTGGGTCAAAAGAGATCTGTTCAGTTTTCATCCGGTTTTCCTTGGCTTACCTTTTCTAATCTCCCTGTTGTGTAGATCTCCAAATCAAAATATTGTGGCAACTGTAACAAGTTGGTGACTTTCTCTGCGTCTATAGAATACTGTGGAGATGGATGACAATTCATTAAATCCCAAAACTTTCCCCATAAAATCAGTGTTTCACTTAACACAATTCCAAAGGTGAGTTTCATTAAGAAATTTAAATGTTCAGTATTAGACAATGGGGACACAGAATTAGCAAACGTTCATAAAACAAATAATCCGAATGTTTCACCAAGTTTCAGGAAGTTTAGCAAAAAGACTGAATCCCAGGAGGAGCTAAAAAGACCCCACACTTTTTGAAAACATGGAGAGCTGTCACCAATAATAGTTTAATCAAAATAGGCTAATCAACTATTTACTTTGTTATAAGACAGCTTCTTATGCCATTGTGACTTAAGCATTGTAGGAGATGAGCAGATGGAACCTGATGGCGGGGTGAAATATGTCATCAGTTTGGAGTCACTACGCTCCACGAGAACCAGCCCCCTGTCCAGCCCCCATGAATTCCGCTGATTCTTATCTGCTACCAATTTCTTTTGACCGTTAGTAGATCAGATTCATCATACTTCTGTACTCCATTCCAGCTCCTGGTCTCCTGTGCCTAACAAGCATGCCATTAACATAGAAATAAAAATAAAAATCACTCACTTTTGCTAAAAGCTGAGGAAGTGCGATAGCAAAAAGCTCTGTGATCTTAGTTCTGTCATCCAACTGGGTTTTTTTCTCCTTTGCTGTAAGGACCTAAGTCAAAAAAAAACAAGGATCAGCAAGATTAAAGAACTGATATTATCAGCATCTATGGGATGCAATTCATTAATAGGCAATATCCTGTACATGAGACAAATTCAAATACATTTCAAGAAGGATCCATATTCTCATAATTAAGAAATTATTTCCAGTGTCCTTCCAAACATGACATTCTGTTATTCTAAAGGAACTGTTTCAGTCACCATTCAGAGGGATCAAGATTTTTTTCGCTAATGTATGCTCAATCTGGACTAAAGAAAGGGAATGCAGTAGATGTCTGAGCAGCTTTAGAACGACGGCTTTGCACATGAATTCTGTTGTAGGGCTTTTTTTAAATAGTCACCAGAATTCTGCTGTGTAACAGTTTTACCTAAAAATTAGAATTAAGTGCTACGACTGTATCAAGCAAATAAAATCGGGATTTCAAGACCTTCAAGTGGTTCAATCTGACCCCAGAAATAGAAGATTTACTGAGGCTAAAAATAGCACATTTTCACTGTCTACTGTAGGCATGCATTCTAATTCCAAAGAGATGATGTTATACACTTATTTTGAATTGCACACAGCAATATTACAATGAATATGAAATGTTAAAGGCTAGTGCATAATTTTCTTAGAAATTATAGGTTATCTTGATGTTTCTTTCAACAACTGTGAGTCTACTGCTGATGTAATGCACACTGGCTCAAAACCCAAATATAGCGGATAACTATTAATACACTTCATTTTTTTCTGAAAAAAAAATTAAAAATAAAATTAGCTGGACAATATGTTAGTATTATGTTTATAGCATTTAAATTATATATATATATATATACATACCCGTTTTCCTGTGCCTCTTCCTACAGGGGGATGACATTCAGCTGCCTGTCTAATTGTACACAGCATTATTTCAATTAGTGCACTTTCCTGTTTGTCTGTTAAAGCTGAAATTATTAAAAAAGGAAAAAAAAGATGTCATTTCTTTTATTCATGTATGTTAAGAACCACTTGAACATACCATAAGATTTAATCACAAGAATTGTTGATAATTTTTTTGTTTTGTACCTCAAATTAAAACTTGCAGATTACTATACTAAATTAGCTACTATCATGATACCAGAACTAAACAGAAAACAAACTGATCTAGATGGAATATTTAAATACCTGAAATTCTTATGCCTTTTCAGGCCTCTTATTCTAAGTTTTCTTTTAATATAAATATTTAACAAAATAACTGTTCTATTTTTATATGTAATGAAATATGCTAGCAATAATTAGAATAAGTTACTACCACTGTTTAATTACTGCTCATTTTTGCAAATAAATTCATTTTAGAGATGTATCACAGGGCATTTCTGTAAAAATTTGAAAACTCAAATCTACATGATTATAACTTCTACGCTTACTTACTCCAAGTTTTCTAAGTTATTTTATTTTTAGCTTATATGATTTGGTTGAATTTCTTTTACTTTCTTGAAGTTAGGGACAACTATCCTGGCATATGCATTTTAAAACATGCTTTTAAAACAGAGTGAAATCTTACGTTCTTCTCCATTTAGGGGTTCTTCCAACAGAAGGCTATTCATACATTCCCAGTCCTTCAAAAGGTCAGTTGCACAATCCCACATGCTGTCCACCAAATAAGCAGCATGCTCATGTAACTGAAAAAGAGTCAGAGGTGTTTACCATGCTTTTTATGAGAAGCTTCCCCAAAGTGCTATTAAAAAGGCAAACACCATTCATAATTTGAGGGAGAAAATGTATACTTGTAGAAGAAAGGCCTGAACTCTGTGCTAAAAAATGTTGTGTTATTTGCCTCAGATCCATCATGTCTTCTCACTTTTAAATATTACTTTTAATCAACTAAAACTTGTTCGCTGAATTTACTGGATTTCAATTGGCTTTGCGATTCAAATGATCCTTTTTTGGAGAACAATCCTCTTGGAAAGCCAGACAATTACTATTTTTCCTCTCTCCCACATTCTTACATCATTAATATTAAGATTTTCAATATTGAGCAGAATTAGGGGATTAATTTGGAGGTTCTTATAAACAAGCATACACAAGATAAATAGACTCAGAACTACAAAAATGCCATGTCTTGCAATGGTGTTTAAAAAGTTTTGGACACTAACCAATTGACACAAAGTTCCCGTAACTACATTCAGCTACACAATAATTAAGGGAAGCTTTACTTAAGGATCTACAATAAATTGGTACAATAATCATATGGATTAAGTTTACAAAATATTGCAAAATCATAAGCAATTCTTCCTAACAAATTAATTTGGCTGAATAGAAAACATATACAAAACACTTCTGAAGAATATGGTTTGACAAAATAAGTAAGGTATGTGTACATACCTCACTTTCCAAAAAGAAAAATACTAATGTTTTGACAAGATTAGCATTTGGACCTTGCCTTCCTCTTCTTTTAAGAATTCCATCTTCCTCAGGGTCCCTGCGACTGAAAAGCCTTCCCAGAAAAAAAGGGGGAAAAAAAACATAATTGTACAGAGTTAGCTAAAAATAAAAGTGTTCTTGATACATAACAGACTTAGTTCTTAGTTGCTCCAGAGGAAATCCCAGTTCCCCATGTGGGGAACCACAAACTTTATCTAAATGGCTCAGTGATTCAGCTCTGTCCAATTCACAACTTATAGTTTGATTTAATTAAATGTCACTTTCTCCTTACTTTTTATACAGAAATTCTCCTGCTGCTATAGCCACTGGCCGATGAGCTGAGTAAACCAGATGATAGACATTTTCACAGTCTTCTGCAGTCAGGACTTCTTCGCTACTCCTAAAAATGCAGTTAATTGTTAAAAATGCAAACAAAAAAAAAGGTGGTCCTTGACTTACAACAGTTCGCTTAGTGACTGTTCAACAGCACTGAAAAAAGTGACTCATGACCATTTTTCACACCTATGACTATTGCAGCACCCCATGGTCACGTGATTTACATTCGGGTGCTTGGCAACTGGTTCACATTTATGACGGTTGCAGTGTCCCGGAGTCACGTGATCTCCTTTTGCGACAAGCAAATTCATTGGGGAAGCCAGATTCACTTAACAACCGGGTTACTAATTTAACAGCTGCAGTGATTCACTTAATAGCTGTGGCAAAAAAAAAGTTGTACGATGGGACAAAACTTAACAAATTTCTCTCTTAGCAACATAAATTTTGGGCTCAGCTGTGGTCATAAGTTAAGGACTATCTGTGTTTAAAATACTACTGGAATAAAAAAGAGGAGGTTACTTTTAACTGTAGATTACCCAAATTCTAAATATTCCATTTAAAGCAATGTTTCCTGTCTTGGCGCTATACTTAAGTTACTGAAGAATAACTCAAAGATGGACCTCACACGGACTCACTACACGGTGTCTGTGAACTTTTAGCAGCATAGACAACATAAAACCATGCATCCATTTTTATCTAACTGTAACATGACACTCTAAAAAGACTGTCTTCTCTTCAAAAGTTTGATAAACTGCATTTATACAAAAAAGGTCAAATTAATGACTAACTATTATTCGAAATAGGATCTGAAACACTTACTGTAAAACAAGAGTAAGTAGTTTTATTGCTTGCACTGCAACATCGTATTCTTTGTCAAGAGTCATAGACACAATTCTGTCCTAGTAGGAAGAACATTTAGTTTGTAAAATTAATTTTTTTTAATAATGGAAAGCCTGGGTTATTTTTTTTAAAGGAAAAGAGAGAGTGAGCACTAACCTTGAACCGGCTGGTGAAGAGTTCCAATTTTGAATTCAGTTCTTTATTATAGTAAAGCCCCTGCAAAGCCGTAAGACATTTGAGTCTCACTTCCCCTTGCTAAAAAAAACAACAGGAAATAATATAACTGTCCTTAAGTTTTCATTTTTCAACAATGGACAATATGTCAATTAGTTTTGAGAGCTCTACATTCATATTGTGATTTCTGATACTTGGGTTCATTTATTCAATACCGAATTACAATGGAAAATTAATTTCTATATAAATGAAACAAACTGCATCAAGCGGAGACATTTTACAGTTTTAACTGCAACACGTTCAACTCAGCCTTGAAGTGGATTGAAAACCAAGGCTCTGAAGAGCTGCTGTTTGAGAAAAGGTTTTATTCCGTCCCAGCTAGTAGAGAAACCCAACCTTATGATTGTACCAGGTACGCCCTGCTGTCAGATCATTTGGACACTAAACTCTTGAAATGTAAAACTGAAGTATTTCTCTCTTAAAAGTAATCAATTATTACAATGTGGTTTAAGAAAAAGGGAGGCGTCAATTTTTGTGCCTTATTTTCTCTGCTCAATAAATTACAGCAGAAACTAGGATTCAACACCTTACCTTGTCATGCATTGTCCACCCCACATATTTTAAATAGCTGTCATTGAGAAAGGCATCACTATACATCTTCATCCAAATTCCAATTTCTTCAATACATATTGCTCTAATCTCAGCAATTGCATCCCTGAAAAGGGATAATACGTAAAGAAAATGAAGATTGTAGTGTTAAAAAAAGGAAAAAAATAGAATGAATCTTAAAACGAAGTTTAGACTTTAATACACAGCAATTGGACTTACCTGTACCTATGAACAAATACACCCTTAAAAATCGCATTCATCATGTTTTCTATTTCATCCTGATTTTCTTGAAGCTGAAAAACACAGGAACTGCCAAATGATCATACTGCAGTTTTACAGTTACATGCTTAGGCAATAAAACAATGCACAATTAATAATTATTTGAAGGTAAGATCACAGGTACCTGGCTAGCTCAGGAATTCTGGGAGCTGAAGTCTACGTGTCCTAAAGTGGGCCAGAGTTGTCCACCCCTGGGCTAGAAGACCCCTTTCCTGGCTTCCATTTGACTTCCCAAGTATGCCAATTTACCTCTTTCCAAGGGTCAGGCAGAAGAAATAAAGAGTTGGAAAGAAAATCTGTGTTTTAATTGAATCTCAAGAGATTTGCTCCTTCCTTTCACTTGGGTTAATTTGGGTTAGTCTTTGGGAAAACAGATCTCTCTACATGTTTAACTCAGGAGCAAAGAGACGACTATGTGTATTTCACAGGCATCAAATGATAGCACAATTTATTTATTTATTTTCAGTTGAAAAGTTCAGGAAGCCTTTTCATGAACTTTTACTTCTAACTTTTTTGGAGGGGGGGGGGATACAAATATTCCACATAGTTCCCTCTTTGTCAGGTAACCATTCCACCGGTGGGCAAAGGTTCTAACCTCCTTCCTTTTCTGCAGCAAGAGTTCCAGTCTATCGTTGGCTCTTTTTCCAATGATTTTATTTCGCTCCGTCTCATACTGTCGTTGTGTATTGTCCATATTAATGCTCAAATTTAATGCCACGTTTACTAACGCGGTCATTAGCTTCATAGCTGTAAAGTGCCAAGAGAGAACGAAAATCAGTCATAATGTATAGAATCATATCATCAACAAACTTGAACAATGATATGGATACAAAAATGCCTTACTACACTACATGCAAATGCAGGATTGTTGCTTTGGGTGGGTGGGTGGGTGGGTGGAATTGCAGAACAGAGGGTTAAATCACGCTGTCTTTAAGTTTCAAAAGGAAAAATGGCATATAAATACATTCTAATAAGATTTTGAATGATTAATTTCAGGATTAGGGATCCATTTTATATAAAGGGAATATTCATTACTAAATGGTTTAGCTACCTACAGAGAAGGGATAGGTAAGAGACTAATCACAATAAAATCTGAGAAGGAATACAAAATTCAGGCAACACTTTCCATATTTTATCACAGGACAAAATATTCATATCAATTAAAATTCACCCTTTCACATTCGCTCTCTGATTTTTATTTATTTACATTTACTTTATTTATCTATCTACTCACTGACTACTTAGGATCTTTTGAAAAGAAACATGAAAGTGAATTTAATTATGTTGGCTCAGTTACTAAAGGGCTTATGTAACTCTTTTTGTTTAAGAAGGAATGTAACAATTGTTCCAAGGCAGTATAATGTGTTGAACTTTGAACAAGTGGCTGGAAAGCACCCCAGGAAATCACCTCTCATTCATTTAATGGCTGTTTTATTATTTCTGCTCTTTGAAGATAGTTATCAAGCTGCTGCATGAAAAACTGGATGGTTTGACTTTGCATTGGTTTATTCCTCCCACTCCAAAATAGACTCATATCAGAGTTTCAATAGTGGTTTGACGTTTCTGGAAATGTTTCTTTTTAGAGCAGGAAGTAATTTCTAGTATTCTCACCCAAAGGAAAATCAGGGCACATATAAGATTAACTGTCCATTCCATAGAGCTATTATGAAGCAAATTTGACCTGCTAGATTTGGGAAGCCTGACCTTGGAGTTCCAGAGACTAAAAAATTGGTGATGAAGGCTTCACTTGGGCTAAAAGTCAACTATAACATCCTTCCGTCCTTGTAGAGCGATGGCTTTTTACCCATCGAAGGGGTGGTGGGGTGGGTTCTTGGCAAGTTTCACAAGGAAAAGCATTTTATTTGTTAAATGTATATTTCAAGGAAATAGAGCAGGATCTCTCAAACAGTAGTTTTCCACCTGCATCACTTTGCTTAACAAGAGCAAGCACTTAGAAGAGGTATTTCAAGACAAGCTCAGCATGTTGGCCAATTCTTTAATTTTTAACTTTAAAACTACCTGGGTTTATTATCCCTGTTTAAAGGAAATGGAAGAAAAGGATATATATAGAAACTTAGCCTCCCCCCCCTCCCCAAATATCTCTCCCAAGTGGTTTTCTCTTAGACTCTTAAACCTAAAACTTTTTATGAAAATATTTCAAATAATCTAGAATGATTTGATATTCGGGATTATCTTTCATAATTTTTTTTAAAAAATCAAGCCAATAAATGTTTACCTGCCAGTGTGCTAGTATGTCGAAATGCCCTGACTTGAGAGTCTGATAATCCTGTAAGTAGTGAAATCACGGTATCCATCATGTATTCGTCATATATGATACTATATTGACACTGCCGGACCAATACGCCAATGAACTCACAAAAACTTGATTTAAATTTCTTCCACTGAGGACCAGCCATGGTGAGCGGATAATCCCCACTGTCCTAGAATACAGAATATGTCAATTGCACAAAAAGTATTGCATTATCTGGCTAATTAAAATAAAAAGGTTAAAATGTCCTGATGAACCAAGAGAGATTTTATTCATCTTCCGCATGGATAAGTATCTCACAACAGACAAGATTTGATTTTAATTGTGTGTTTTTTAAAATATTATCTTTTTGTTTGCAGACCAGAACAAAGGCAACCGAAAAATAATAAAAAAGTTAAATGTAAAAAAGTTATAAAAATATGTAGCTTAGCAACCACTCCCAGGGTAATTTGATCCACATTTAAGATTGTTTGGAATGTCCCTTGGTCACATGACTATGATTTGCGATATTTTCTACAGGGAAACCAGCATTTACAAAAAATACCCACTGGATTTGCCACTACAGTGTTTAACAACCACAATGGTTCACTTAACAGCTGCCACAAAAAAAGGTCATAAAATTGGGTGCAATTCATGGTGACTCTTTTAATGATCAGCATGACTTATAACCATAATTCTGGGCTCAGTTATGATCGTAAGTTGAGGACTACCTGTATACAGAATTTTCCAACGATTTTTCCTATACATCCTGTTAATAAGTATGTTCTTAAAAAGGAAGTGCTAAGGTGAAAAGATACTCAGCTACTTGAAACAGTGATTATCACTGTTGCCAATGAACTGAGATTTTATCTGCCCTCCAGAGTTAATTCTTCACCTCCCACAAATCCATTTAAAAAACAGTTGCAGGAACAGAAACCACAAAAACAAGATACGTTTTCAACTGAAAGAACTGCAGTAACTAGTTCAGAAACGTCTAGTATAAGGAATGTTAAGACATATATAGAATCAGTTTTGAAAAATGTAAATTTAAACACGTCCATTTTACCTCATCAAACTCTTCAGTCATTTTTCGAATTATTTCTGAATTTTGCATATGTCGAAACATCTCTGCTGTTACAACCCCTACAAATCACAGAATGGAACACTATGAAATCTCAAACTTCAAAGGATAAAAAACGCTGTTTAGGCAACAATATTACAAAACAAAATGTGTCATTTTTCTGACTGAAATGTTTAAAATACATGGATAGGCATAATTGTAATTTGATAGTTCTACGTATTCAATTTTTTAAAAAGTAACATACTTTTTTTTAATATTCATCAGCAGGGTCTTAGGCTCTGAAAAGCCAGAATACAATTGTAAATGTGTGTGTGTGTGTGCGGGGGGGAGGGGGGACGACGACAATCTATGTTCAAGTATTTGAAAAGGGGGGTGGGGAAGGAGACATTATAAATGAACTGTAAAAAGCACTATTTATGATGGGAAGTTCTAATTGTAACGGGGTAGATTACTAGCAAAGAAGGGATGTGAAGCTTTTTAATGGAATTAATATGGAATAAAACTCACCCGCCCCCAATAGAAATCTTACCTTTGCAACCTGAGCACTGAATAAAAAAGTTGATGAGATCAAGGAGCGCTATATCTCTATCATGTTTGTAGGACTCTATCCAGTCATCCACCACAGACTAAGATAATAAAATCAACATTAAATTAGGGATGCTTATTGTTACTCTCTATCTACAAACACACAATCACCACCCCAAAACTCATCTTTTATACCCCGAGGTTTCCACAGTTGTCCCATTTCTCCAAAACATTGTTTTCAGAAACCAAAAAGTGGTGTATTGGTTTTTCCAAAGGAGCCTGATAAACTTAAGCCAATGTTAGTCGAAGCTTAAGATATCTAATCCTCATGTCTGCCTAAGGTTGATTTGTGATCTACTTTACTTTGAAACAGAGTTAAAAGTTAAAATGGACAGTTTCAAAATCCGAAAACAAATTGCACATATAGGATTAAGTTTAATTACAAGGTGGATCTTCTTTTCAAATCAAATCAAACTACTTTTCAAATCAAATCTTTACTATGGTCATAGACCAGCAGCGTCCACTTCTTTTCTAGACATAAACTATATTTTTAATTTAAAAAAGCAGAGACATTTAAAAATAAAGCTGCAGCCAAAGTCTCAAACAATGGGGTGACACCCAAATAAATATACATACAAGTGCTTGTCATTTAAAGTCTATGGGAGAGCCAGTAGCGAAGTCTTAGGTCTTACACATTCAACCAAAAAATGATTGCAACAGCATTCTGTAGAAACTCTGCTTAGTTTTAAAACTCTGTTGAACAAGCGAACATCAAATCACTGTTTAGATATTCGCTAAGAAATCTGGTGTCAGTGTTCCAAATAATGCACCATAGAAAGCAGAACTCAGAAGCAGGCAAATTTCCCAAAGGACAATTAATTGGATACATCATATTGCACAACTGGTGGAAGCCGACTCTGAAAGTTCCCGTGGCTTTCACCTAGTTAAAAAGTAAAAGTTTCCCCTTTCTCCCAAGTCACTGGTCAGGCTGCCCAATCCAGGTGCTGGCCGGTTGCTTGGTTACTTCACTCGTCCTCTGGCTAGACACCTGTGAGAATGTCCTTGGTTCCTACAGAAAAACTTTATTGTTTTAGCTACACAACCCCGTCTAACTATTTCTCCCGTCCTTCTGGTGTGTGGCAACCCTGAAGCCTCCCAGGTGGCCTCGGCCAGGATAATTTCAGGGTTGACATCTGGAACAGGAAGGACATTTTAAGATGGAGTTGACCTGAAACTGAAATGGATTTTCTCCTCACTCTCAAAAAAACAAAGCCTGTGATAAATAGTTACCTGCATAGCACTCTTGCCCATTTTAACGACTTCAAATAACATCATGTTTTCCACACCATTCTGCTGATGATGCCCATTCATTCGATTTAGTCCACCGGCTTTTCCTCCTCCATTTCCAACTTTGGCTTTTTCTCCCGCAGCCTTTTTCCCCTTTTTGCAGGTCTGTATGAAGGACAAGCCCAGGTTACTTCTTAGCAACTTAACAGGTAAAAAAAAATAAGTACTTGCACTTGAACAAATGGATATTTTGAGGAAGTTTTGTTTATCTTTTTTTTTTTTACTTTTCATTGTGAATGGGATGAGCTCCTGTAACTTGCCCCAGCTCCTGCCCACCTAGCAATTCAAAAGCATGCAAAATTGATTAATAAGTATCAGTTGAGTGGGAAGGTAACAACGTTCTGTGTGCCTTTGGCATATAGCCATGCTGGAAATGAGTATTGCCGCTTAAAGTAAGACATGACCAGACAAGGGAAATCTTTACCTTTTTTAGCAATAGGAACAGTACTTACTTATATAACTCTTCACAGTGCTTTACAGCCCACTCTAAGGGGTTTACTAAGGGCATTTTGCCCCCAACAATTTGGATCCTTATTTTACCCACGTCGGAAGGATGGAAGGCTGAGTCAACCTTGAGCCAGTCAGGATTAAATTCCTGGCCATGGGCAGAATTAGCCTGCAATGCTGCATTCTAACCACTGCATCACCATTTTACATATGATCGGACAATCTAATCATTGAAATGAAAAGTTTAATCACAATACAGAGGAGAATATGTATCAGATATTGTCAGCTTTTCCAATTTTTGGAACCTCCATGGAATGGTTTCCAATATGTAAAAGTGTTTTATGAGATTCACCCTTATTGCACCAAATCTATTTACATGTCACAGAAGCACTGCTGTTTCAGATAGCAACATTAAATTATTTATAAGACTATTGTTACTCTTACAACCCCATACAGACTGAGAATGTGAGATAAACACACCTTTCCTTTTCCTGGTTTCTGATTTTTTCCTTCTATATCTTCAAAGTCAGTATCTGAAGAAAAGTGTGTTTCAGATTCCCTGGGAAGACATATTTTACATACTTATTTCACTTAAAATGTGTTATAGTTGCTTTGACGCAATATAATATACTCTGGACATGCTACATTTACTTAAATGAGTTTTTCAATACTGTATGCATAGGAAAGCATAGGAATTTTCTAAAAAAAAAAAATATATTCCATCCACAACTCAAATGAAATGAGGAAATTCAACTCTACAAGTTGCCAAAATTCACCAATAAATGGAGGAATCATAGGAATTCATTTAAAAATCACAAACCAAAGAAAATACGTTTTCCCCCTACATCTATATTTTACAAAGAAAAGCAAAATGAAAACATTGTTGTGACTCTCTAATTTGATATCAATAATTTTCAGTTACTTACTGAATTAGGGCAAAATTAGTTGTTGGTTCTTGAGCTGCTATCATTTCTTTATCATCTTCTGGGCTACTACTGTATTAGAAATACATTCAAAAAACAGTTGTTGAGAAATAGCCGTACTTGCTTGTTACTTTCTTCTATTATTGTAGTAGTCTATGCCTGTCAAAAACAAAGTAACAGTTAATGGAAGTTGTCCAGTTTCCTGTGATTTGTTGCTTTGTTAACAGTGCAACAATGTTTTCCATGCTAACCTTTTCTATTTATTTTTTAACCTTCTTTGTCTTAATGAGCATGCCAACTGTCTAGCAAAAATATGAAAAGGTTTTTATTTTTTTAATAGTTATGAGTTTTTCATCTAAACATAATGCTCCAAAATATGTCACGGATGTAATAATATTGTTAGAAAAGTACTTCAATCATCATTATTTTAGTCATCCTTTTTGGGGGGGCGGGGGGGAATCTTGAAGCTGCATAGTAATTGCTTTAGGCTGTGTGGCCACAACTGTATACAGAATTCCAGATGCAGTCACTTTGCACAATTACATAAAAGCATCGTAATAGTTTCATTATATTTTGACCAAAATAATCCACATTTTATTTCCTTTAAAAACGATGGTCTCTATCTTCCTTTTTCCCTGGTTCTCAGAGAGCAAGCTCTCATCATCTTCAGTAGCCCTCAGATGGTTTAATGTTTAGTCCTCGACTTACAACAATTCATTTAGTGATCAAAGTTGTAATGGCACTGAAAAAGGTGACATGATTGTTTTTTAGTTACCACCTTTGCAGCCTCCCCACGATTATATGATCAACATTCTTCAGATGCTTGGCAACTGGTTCATACTTATGACCGTTGCTATGTCCCAAAGTCATGTGATCACCTTTTGCGACCTTCTGGCAAGCAAAGTCAATGGGGAAGTCAGATTCACTTAACAATTGCTAACTTGTATTGCTAACTTTAACAATTGCAGCAGTTCACTTAACAACGGTGGCAAGAAAGGTCGTAAGATGGGGCAACACTCATTTAACAAATGTCTCACTTAAGAACAGAAATGTTGGGCTCAATTGTGGTCGTAAGTCAAGGACTACCTGCCGTCAGTTCCCCTTCGCTGGTAGTAGAGGGTAAACAGAGATGCTTTCATTTGAATATCTGGACTAACTAAGCAGCTTACAGCTGTTGACCTAATTGGTCCCTTCCAATTTTATGTCAACCATGACTTGGATGACTGAGAATCTCCATAGACTTCCAATTTTATAATAATGTGAGGACATTATTGAGAATCATGCGTTTCTCATGAGGAAATACAGCAAACTAAGCAGATTGCAAAGAAATGCATCAAAGATTATGCTCTGCAATGATTCAGCATGCATAGCAGTCTTTCATCAAATCTCAATATATAATGTCAGGCAGGTTTTAAAAAGCTCCATGTAAAATATTCCCCCTCGATAAAGATGACCTTCAAATTGCATAAACCTGCAAATTACCATTTATTAAACAAAGTCTTAAACTCCCATACATATGCAATTTAAACCTGATTCAAGTGAAACTAAAACCTAGATTTTTCATTTGTGGCTGAAGTTCGAGAATTGCTTGGAGGTGAGAAAAGCTGCATTTCAAACTGCCACTAAGGGATGCTAAAACATAATAATCAGTTTATTTAAAAAAAAAGAAAAGAAAATGTATCATGCTGAAAGATCACTTGGTGGAGCTCTAATCCAAAACTCAGTTAAGACAGGTCACCCAGAGGTTGATCAAGCCACTTCTTGACAGGAAACACTGCCAATAGAGAGCTACTAGATGTGTGTTTGGCAATTGTCTAAACAACGTTTCTCAAATACGCAACACCTTAATTGATCTGGCTGTAATTTTTAGTACCGTAACTCTTCCTGCCCAAAAGCTAGTTTAAAAATAAAAGTGGGGATATTTGCTTGGGACAGAGGGGATATTTGCTTTGGACATTTTTTGAAGGTTGCAAATTTTAACAGATCTTAAATGTAGTTATTTTTTTAAAAAAAGAAACCTAAAAGAATGGAAATATAACATTAAGTTTACAGAACACTGCTCTACTTTTCTACATTATTTTTATATTTATATTTCCCATTTTTGGTGATATTTTCAAATGATCATTCTCAAAAATTCAAAAGATTTACCGTAAATATTTTTATTTTAATGTTATAAATGGCACATTCGCATGGATTTAACACCGAGACAATTGAAACTCTTTCCTTAATGTTACGCAGTAGCCCTCTGAACAATTCAAGACAATCACTGGGAATAAGGATGCTTGATGTGGCTTCATTGCATGTTGCTAAATTCCAAGTCACAGCAATTCCAGGGAGTATGGTCAGTGAGGGAATACAGGGAGCTATGTTTATTATGGCTCAATCGCACAGAGTGGTCAGAATATTATAGGACTGCAATTTAGCACTTCGTTCAGCTGTAGGTGCACAACTACCGAAGAAAATTGGCTTTTTCACTAATTGCCTGTTTATGTACACTGCTCAAGAGTTCTCAGTTCACTAAGTCAGGGGTCTCCAATCCCCAGTCCGTGGAGCAGCACTGGGCCACAGCATACCAGGAACTGGGCTGCGCAAACAAGCGAAGCCCCATCTGTGGGATGCAGGCAGCATGCCAAACCATGCCCCCTCTGGTCCCCATGAAACCAATCCCTGGTGCCCAAAAGATTGGGGGACGCTGCACTAAGGATATCCCTGTGCTCCAAGGTGAATAATTACCAGGATTACACAGATGTACATATAAAGCATCTATTGGTTAAATTGAAGCTCATTCATATAAAATTCTCACCAATCGCTATTCTTCTCCAAACTATTCATGATCAACCTGAAGTGGCTTTAGAATGAATTCCAGCCTGTAAAGCCAGATTCAGAGCAGTTTCTATATTCTTGATTTCAGAAAAGTGGTTTTCCTTTCTCTTTGTCTTGCAGGAGTGTTCTGGGAGCTGCTGTAGGGTGGTAGGCTAGGACTGAGCCTTCCTTTCTCATGTTTATTGGCTTAAAATTCCACTTATATTCCTCCCTGAAACTTGTGCTGATGTATCATAAGGGTGTTGTTAAAAACAAGAATGTGTTGTGGATTAGCTTTGGGGAAGAGGGATGCACTTATAATACTACACGATGATTAATGCTGTTGACAATCAAAGGGTGGAAGTTCATGAGGGAGTTATTTATACAAAGTAGTTGACTGGGATGTTCCATGCTTTACCCACAAGGCAGCTTATGAGTAGTTCTGCCCTCCCTTCTACTAGTGGGGAGGGGACAATTAACAAGATTGAATTTCCATTTCATCAAATTATCTATAAGATTCCTTATCATGATCTCACCATGTTGAAAAGGGAAAAATCCTTAATAAGTGAGAACCCAAGCAAGGGTTTTATTTTTTTCATAACTGATATTTGTCTCAAGATCCAAAGCTATGAGGATTTTGAAGAAGCAGGCTATAATTTAACAAAGCTAAATTAAGGCAAGTTTTTGAAACTCTTACCATTTTATTATGAACAATATCTAGTTTTAGACTGTAATCATACAATTGTGAACAACAGTTAACTGAAAAATATTTGGGGATTGTAACTTCATGTCTTGCTTCACATTTTATATTAACTAAACAGTGTTAACTACAGATTATATATGAGTAAAGTATCAATTGTATTTAATAATCAGGTTTTAGAAAAATCAGGAAAATTATACATTGCTTTATACAGGCAACACACATACCAGATTTCACAATCATATCTTAAACAATTGCTGAGATCCACAAATTACATAGTGCAAATGAATAGCCTTTCTTCAGGTTCACAAAATGCATTTTGTAAGCACATTCCCCAGGAACATAGCACAACGGATGCACCTTTCTTTGGTTATTGTGAAGATTCTCCCACTTTGGTACTCTAAAACCACAACCCTTATTTCTAGCAAATATTTTTCCCAGACTGGAAAAAGTTATTGCAATGCCACCATTGCTAAGGATGTCATTTGGAATGTGACCTTATCAGCAAATGAGAAAGCGAAAGGAAAGCAAGCAGGTTTGAGAAAATGATCTCACAAAGAGGAAAAAAAAATATAGGTTAACAAATGCCAAGTGATTTTTACAGCAAAATAATTCAACCAATTCTATTGCTAATTCCTGAAAGAAAACCAGCTATAACTTGAATCCACTCTAGAGTGTGGCAAAACAGCTCAAATATTTCCAAAGACTGTCAACACTGTTTTATTTAATCAGTCTTCTCAGTTATAATCTGTGAACTTTCTTTTTTATAGTGATGCTAGGCAGCCACTTAATTTTTTAGTTTTTTTGATGCCTTGAATAACGATTTGTGGTAATCGCTTGGCGATTTTATAAGGAGGTTTATGGTATATGTGTGCATACAGGTGTGTGTAATACATACATACATACAAATATGATACACACATACAGTATATAAAATTATATCTCATGAATATGTAGTATGTAAATAAATGTAATAAACAATAAATACTTGTTAGGAGAAAAGGAATGTCAACATCTGAGCAGACTATGCTTTACAACCACATAAAGTGAATGAGCAGAAAGAAAAATATGGATGGTTATGTTGTATATAGCATATACAGTATATTACCAATTCTACTGATAACTGAAAGTTGCAGAATCATTTTGAAGTTAGAAATGCATACTAAATAAATACTTTTTGCTATTGCTTCAAGCTGTAAACTGGAAAGCGCATCCAGCTATCTGCATTCTAATCAATCAAAACCATATAACGTTAATATGTAATCTGATAGTTTTACTAAATTTATTATTCCCAGTATGTTAAAATTTGGATCAAAATATATTGTTTCCTTGATCTGGCCACAATGCATGAAACCTTTACATTATATAATACAGTTAGTACTACTCAGTCAACCAGGAATAAAAATTTTTCCTAATTCACCAAACTTTTAAGTTAACCAAGTAGACTTGCACCCAAAAATTATACCTTTATCCCTTAACGCAGCTACCTTGCTTAGGTTCCCAGGAAGCTTACAATACCTTTCACCAGCGTCTGATAATAAAATA